TGGTTTTGGTTGTCAGCAGCAAACTGGTTGATCCACTCTGAGAAGGTGCTATTTAAGAGACTGAGCTGAATACAGCACCTCAGACTGAGGAAGTCTCTCGGATGAGAGACAAAATGTTTCTACATTTTTATTTTTATTTTATTTTTTTTGCTTTGTTTTGTTTTTTTGTTTTTTTGAATGTCCAGAGGACCAGATTGAACTTTTTTGGATTTCTGGTCAGTGTTTGGAGGCAGCTCGTACCTCACGTGTTAATTGTAGTGCAGTGACCCTCCTGACCTGTGTATCTTTGACATGTAGCTCTTCTTGTGTTTGTGATGACAACATGTACAGTCTGGTTTGAATGTGCTGGTTTCAGGGGTGTAACGGTACAAAGAAACCACTGATTCATTTATGAAAATTGGAAACATGAAGAAACCGATTGGTCCAAAAGTGAAAAGTTGCCACAATCTAATAAATCCCTTTCTCAGGTGTTTTAAGAGCTTGTCCACATGGAAACACAGCCCCAACCTCCACCCCCAAAAAAGTTATTTTTACTTCACATTTCTAAAAATTTTCTCGTAAACAGCACTATTTTAAGAAGCATCTTCATCCATACGAAAACACAGAAAACCCAAAACACTGTAGTAACTATGTCAGGCCTATAGGTGGCAATAATGTTGAAAACACACCGGACGCAGGAAACAAAGCCTAAAACATGCACCTAAAGCTTGCATATTCTGTGGGAAATGTAAATACACCAAGAAAAAAGGTTGCTCTAGGGCAGGGGTGCCCACACTTTTTCAGCGTTCGAGCTACTTTTAAAATGACCAAGTTCAAGTGATCTACCTAATATAAAAATACAAAACAAATACTTACTTATAAACATATTAAGTATGCTTTTTATGTTTTACGTTCTTGTTTTTAGCATTTTACCAAGTTTTACATGGCTCCTTGATTTATTGTTTTATAACACTACTTTTATTTTAGCTGCATTTTACTGTAGTTTATTGTTGTCTGTACTTTATATGTTGTTTGTTTAGAACAGGTCTGTCGTGTAAACGAGTCCTCGTGACTCAAAGAGACTAACCTGGATAAATAAAGCTTGAATAAATGAATAAGCACCAGCTCGCTGTGGACGCAACATAAATGACAAAACCCAAAAGTTTGTTTAAAAAAAAAGTGACAATTTATTTTTACTGTCCATGTACAAAATAATAAACAAAACACAGCAATAACTTCTGTTCGTCACACAAAGGAACAGAAAACAACATGAATAACTTCATGTTTGAAAAATAACATGAGAACAAAAGTGAAAATTCAGCCCTGACAGCAGCTGCTTTTATCTTGACCGTATTTCTTGATACCTGGAGAGCTTTGATCAAGATAATAGTTCTGGTTTGTTTTTAAAGTCTCTGAACAACGAGTCAGATGCTTCAACAAATAACTCTTTTACCATCTCTCCATCTTGAAAAGACTTCTTGTGCTGAACAATTATTAAAGTGACTCACCTGGACCGATGCTTCGCTGCTGGTCAGCTGTAAGAAAAATGACTGCTGTCCAGATAACTGGGATTTTACTTCCTTTACCATTTTCTTTCTCAGTTCAGTTTTCAGAAGGAAGTCAGTGCCGTAGTATTTATGAATACTAAATTTGTCAAATCTGAAAATGCTGTTCCGGTGAAATGCACTTTGAATATGACGTTGTGAAAAAAAAAAAAAAGTCCTTCTCCCATTCTGTATGGAAATGGTAGATTTTTTGTTTCTTACTTGGTCCAGCTCCCCAACTCATTTTCCACACTTTATTGAGTTTAGATATAAATTGGAGGCTATTACGAGTCCACTTGTTTATTTTTAGCGTGGTTGAATGCACATGCGTTGTGACCTAAGTGTCAGAAAAGATCCGGTCTCTGATTGGCTGCCCTGTACGTCAATCATGGGTGCCATTGTTTGCGCATGCGTGGTGACCTATGTGTCAGAAAAGATCCGGTCTCAGATTGGCTAACCTGTATGTCAATCAAGTGATGATTTGCATAGTGAAGATAGATTGATTGGCTGACATCTATTTAAAAATAAAATGAAAAAAATAAAAAAAAAAGTCTGACACAAACCATCACCATGCTATCTACTCATATTACCTTCGCGATCTATCAATAGATCGTGATCGCCGTATTGGGCTCCCCTTCTCTAAGGTTAAGGGTTATATTAGAGGTAGGGTTGTGACATGATTCTTTTTAAAAGGTTGCACAAAAACACGACTTTTTAAAGGTTTCTAGCTCTGGCGCCTGCTTTTTATAAAGTTGTTTGAATCTCCCAAAGTCTGTTGTCATGCAGACATAGCACTGAAACAATATAAAACTTTAGCATGTTCAGAAAAATATGCGAACGGCTCCTTAAGTCTCCAAAAGCCAGTGCCTTCTATCTGATTTGACTGGGAGTAAAATGTGTAAAACAATAAAGGCCAAAAGCATCTCAAAAGACAGAAACGCAATTCCTACATTTGCACAGCAACACATTCCTTTTTTCAAAAAAGCAAAACAAACAGTTTATCTGTAACTTGTTTATTCATTTTAATTTTATTTTACAAACATAAGTAGGTTATAAAAAAGGGGTTAACGTTACCAGTGGTGGACACAGCTAACCAAAAGTTAGCTTTGCTAACCCATATTCCTCTAACTAAAAAATTTGCTTTGCTAATGCTAAACGACAAAACAGGTAAAAATAAAAAAAAATAGCAGAAGCTAACGCTAAATCTCTAATGTGGAAAAAAGGAGATTCCCAAAATAAACCGAGGCGTAGTTCATCAGATTTATTTAAGAGCTTTGGAAAACAGCCAACATTCACAGATCAATGCATTCACAAGATCACACTTATCAATGTCTTCTGTCTGAAGCACTGACCATTCTGATTGAAAAAGTTAGTTTTGTAGAATCACTCCAGCTCTCAGCCCCACCTTCCCTGTCCAGCTGTTATAACCCCAGCTGTTGTCAGGTTGGAGAGGAGGGAATCTGAGTCCGCAGCTCTCAAGGACTCTATAAGACACATCACTGTATCACATGATATTGTATGCTATCCATTTCATATCAATCAAACCTTGAGGATATTATAAACTAGTTATTGCTGTTCCTTACAGCGGGGGTGGGGGGGGGGGGGCGGCTGTGGCTGAGTGGTTAGAGCAGTTGTCATCCAATGCGAGAGTTGGGGGTTTGAATCCACCAGCAGTCACAAGCTGAAGTGTCCCTGGGCAAGACACTGAACCCCTCGTTGCCTCTGATGTGTGTCCCATCAGTGTATGGATGTGATAAATCTCTGATTAGTCTCTTTAGAATGATTTGTTCCATTAGCTTTGTAGAGATCTAGTAGAGTGCTGTATGAATGGGTAAATGAGGACAAAGATTGTAATGTAAAGTGCTTTGAGTATCTTGAAATAAGATAGAAAGGCGCTAAATAAGTACAGTCCACTTACTGACAAATCACACCAAGACTGATTATTACATAGACCATTTTAATAGCATTCACATTACAGTACAGGAGGAGAAAAGTATAGAGCATAATGAGTGCAAATAATACACTTTACCTTGACACAGTTAAGGGAACTGTCACTCAGTCTGCGTCACACATCTTTGTTTCCTTACAGTTGCAGCTGCATTGACAAATCACGTCTTGTCACATGTAAGCGTAAGCCAATAGCGTGCCTAAGAGACTCTTAGAGACATGCCCAAAACAGACAGGAACAAGCTTGTGAATTTTGTTAGTGGACTCAAAGTTGGCAAAACCTAATTTAGCATAAAATAATTCCACTTACAGTTTCCAGAGATAGTCAGAACGCTAATCCAGTAAACAAAAAATTAGTTCCGCTATTAACTTGTAGTGGATTAGCAAAACAGTGCCCATCACCGATCTTTACTGACCAAAATTATGTTATCTAATGCTTGTTTAAAATCTGAAACAGGCAGTACATTCACAAAGGTTGGCAGAGGCACATATTGTGGTGTTTTTTCAGCCATTTTCAAAATGAGCTGTTTTAGTTGTGTCTTTCACACTGAGTGGGTTTGCTGTGTTCTCCATGACCTGTACAACCTTTTAGAACGTGGCTCTAAGCCAATGCATTTGGAAAACTGCCTTCAGTGTAAACACAGCCAAGAGGCTGTTATGCTTTTAGTACTTGTCAAATGTTTGTTTCCTGCTATTTCTTTCATTGATTTCATTCATTCTATTGCTTCAGACATGGGTATCACGTCTGAGCTATGCTTTTTTCAAGGACTTTGCATCTCATGTGCCATGACCATGTCCAGGTTTCGATATTTCTTGTCCTTTAGAACAGCTGAGCTTGACACATTATATTCATGAAAGAATGTGCCAAGTAACAGCAGAAGTCATCTCAGGGCACTGAACAGAAACATTCATATGTAAAACTAAGTTGACAGAAACATCATATATAAAAGTAATAATTTAAGACTGTATCTGAGGAGCAGACTGCTTTGAATTTGACTCCATTACAGAACTCTCATCTTGCGCAAGCATGAAGGTGACAGTGGAAAGGAAAAACTCCCTCATGAGGAAGACACTTTTAGCAGAACCAAGCTCAGGACTAGTGGCCATCTGCTTCGACTGGCTGGGTTTGGTAGGAACAGATACACAATGGCAGGTCAAGAATCGCATGTCAAGATAGAAATAATATCAAATGAAAACTATTCATTCTATTCCATTTTAACAATGTATTAAGGAAATTAGGTCAGTTTGTCCTCTAGTAGCCTAAGCTTAAGGAAGCATAACAAGTCAACCCTAAATATAGGATTTATGAAAAAGGAAAGTCTTAAATACAGTCTTAAAACTGGACAAGGTGTCAGCCTCATGGACAGAAATTGGAAGTTGGTTCTACAAGAGAGGAGCCTGATAACTGAAAGATCTTCCTCCCATTCTGCTTTTGGAAACTCTAGGGACCACGAGATAGCCAGCAGTTTGAGAGCGAAGTGCTCTGTTAGGAAAATATGGAACAATAATATCTCAAATATAAGATGAAGCTAGGTTGTTGAGCGCTTTGTAGGTTAGAAGTCAGATTTTTAATTATACTCTGGATTTGATAGGGAGCCAATGGAGAGAAGTTAAAACTGGAGCGATATGATCTATCCTACTGAATACAGTTAAGACTCTGGCAGCAGCATTTTGGTTCAACTGAAGATTTTTTTTTTAAAGTATTCGGACACCCAAATAACAAACCATTGCAATAGTACAGTCTAGACATGACAAATGTATGGACCAGTTTTTCTGCATAATTTTTCGATAAGATGTTTCTAATTTTAGTGATATTACGCAGGTGGAAGAAGGCAGTTCTAGTAACATTTTTAATGTGGGGGATAAAAGACATGTCCTGATCAAAAATAACAC